CGCTTCAACACCCTGCTCGGTTGGGTTTGACACTCTTTCCATCTCGTCTTCTATATATGAATGCTACATTGTCCAAGCCAACTTACGATGGGGCACTTCGATACGGTGTAATGGTTAACAAGCTTGTATCCGTAGAAAAATTACGACTGAGTAGTGAGTTCGATACTCACTGGGTACTCTCATAATTTCGGCCTTGTGACTCATCTAAGCTATGCTCTGAAAATCACTATGCCGTCTTACGATGTATTCTAGAAATTTACACTGTCTCCTGATTTTAAGTGTCATTTTGTTTACAATTACTTAAAATGACAGGCTTAAGGAACTGCCTGCGAGTACATCAGATGCCAAGCCCCTCGAAAATATTTTAATACTACCGAACAATACACTTCCATACGTAACTTACCAAAAATTAGCAGTATCCCTTTTTCAGCTTAAAAGAAAATGTCCGCGGTATGTTCGACTTATGTGTCGTTCACATATATATCGTTTCCATGTCTATGCAAGAATATATAAAAAGAAAATTATTGCAATACGATGAACTTTTTTAATTTATCTCTTTTTTGTTTTATATAACAATCTTCTAAGTTAAAGTCCAATGAGATTTAAATTAGATAGCGTGAGATAAGAATTAATGAGTAGGTTTTGAACGCCCATTAGCCGGTCACTTATGTTTCCCATGTCTTTCTTAAATTAAGTGAAGAATTGAACTGTAAGACAAGTATAACAATCTAGTCATACTAACATTTCTGTAAGGCAAATTTTCCCATCTTTATAAGATTATGAAACCGTGCTAACAGTAATTTGCCTATGTTCAAACGTCCATCGCTCTAATCATTTCTGACAAATATATTTTATATTAATTGTCAAAATAAAAATTGTCATATACAGAACATGACTGCATTCAATATTTGAGGAAATAGAAACCAGTAAAGCTTGGATAGCTCCTCTAAATCAACGATACCCAATCACCGGGCCACAAAGAAATTATCAACATTTTTAAAATTACATAATAGATAAACTGAACACTGGACTTTAGTTTAAAACGTTTTTTTTGTTTTTGTTTTTTTTTTTCATATTCAGTATTCATCTACTCAATAATATCTATCATAACTGTAAATTAATTTTACAAATTAATATATAGTTCATTTGTTTATAATAATTTTCAACTAATTTTCTAACCGCAACTAATTTCCAAATTCTACACTAGTTCTAAATTATGATAAGTTGATATTGATGTGATAATAGTGTAATAGGAATGATTCAGGGAAACTAAACACGTAAGGGTGTGGTCGGGCTGGAATCCAGACATGAGGTTCAAAAGATTATAGAGTTTTCCTACCTTTAATAAATTGCTCTTTTTATTAATGCTCTCTTTATCGAAATGCACTTAAATTACACATATGTGCCATTACCGGTCCGCGGAAAGATTGTCGCGTTTGAAGCAGGTCTGTGACATAAAACTCCTCTAAAGCCATTTTCAGCAGTTGGCGTATAGATGAGACAGGCTTAGGATAAAGGTTATACCACGTAGATCGTTGTCAGCAAGAGGTAGGCTACCTAGGAATAGATGTCGAAATAATGCAAGTATAAAAATTTAAATATATGAGAAGTGTTTTAACAGGGGAGAGATAAAATTGACACTGAAATCCGAAGGCGCTTTAAAATAGAAAAGAGATATAAAGAATTCGATATATTTATTTTTCCATGACTAGAATACTGAACAGGCACGATATAAGACATTATTCAAATGTATACTTACGAGTAATGAACTAAAAATATTTGATATGTTATGGTAGAAGGGTTTCTTCGGACTTCTAGGAAAACCTCATTTATTTGGAAATTCCCTATGCACTCCATCCGTGAAAATTAAGTACCTCTCAAACAGCTTCTTCACGCGAATCAGTACCCTGTGGAAAAGACTCCTTAGAGGATGTTTCCCAGATTAATACAATCTTAACCTCTTCAAGTCTAGAGTCAAACCTTATCTTTCCCTCCTATCCAAGTACCTCTTAACTTAAGGCTTCTACCTCGAGTGGCCGCGGGCCTTAAACAGGGTGAACCCTACTGTAAAAAAAAGAATAATCCAGAGTATAAACTAGCAGTTTCCTTCTATGTACCGTGTTTCTCCAGGAAGTATGATGTCATTACTCTGCACAATTTCTTAGAGTTTGCAGTTCTTCATAAATTTTGTCTTTTCGTTATCTCTCTAAATTTTTGATCCAACATCTATTACTCAAGTTCTCTAGTTAGATAATGCGTTCTTTATCTCTTTTTCTCTTGCCTTCAATCTGACCTGTGAGTATCAAATTTTCCATGCTCTTTTTCCTCACTATGCGCTCTAAGAATTTCAACTGTCTCTTCGTGATGTTATATATGACTGTTTTTTTGTTTCCATTTTCTCTAAATCTTAGTCATTTCTCACATTATCAGCCCATGTTATTCTCAGCATCCTTCTGTGGAACCTCATTTCTGTTGTTTCTAGTCTCTTCTTCATAGTGTTCTGATGTTCCAAGGATTTAGAATTATTTCTTCGTAATTGAGCAAGTAAATAAAAAGAGAAAGTGGCTTAAGACAAATATCCATCTTTACACCGGGTATAATTAAACTTTATTCCGAGGAATCCCCAAAGAGCTAAAAATTCTAAAAGAATTGGTGGGTAAAATTTCAATAACGTAATATGATATGTTGATATTTTGCTTATATCAGACACAGAAAAAAAAACTGGAGAGACTTATAGAAAAGATAGTAAAGGAAAGCAAGAAAAAAGGACTAACTCTCAATTTAAAAAGACAAAATGGTTGTCAGCATTGATTGATTAATCACGGCTTATCCATGATTTGCAGTTTATTTAAAGCCAGAAAATATTTTTAGATTGTATGATTTTTTTTTTATATATATATAATAATGATTTTAATGATAGATGTCTTATTAATTAACCCTTAAGGGAAGAAGAGAGATTTGTATCTTTCTCAATGGTATTTACGGGCAAGTGAATATATTGAACTCAACGGGAATTGGAACTCGGGTCTACGATTAACAATTTCGATTCCGTATACCACCTGCACATCCTAGTTTACAGCACTTGGTATTCACAAGCGTTCACTTACCTAGTTATTGAACAAGCTCAACGTTGCTTAACTTCTGTGATTGTTCAGGAACAAGAGGCACAAAGATGAATATATAAAAATACAAATTTAGATGTCATGAAATTGTTTTAACAGAAGTCGGAAAATGTGACACAGAAAGCCGAAGTCGTGGTGAATTAAAGATAGATATCTTTCAAAAGGTCAAGAAAATGCGAAGAAAAATGTAAATTTCAGTAAGAAAATGACAGCTGACCTACTATGGAATATCGATCTTCATATATGCTAGTGGATACTGGAGAATTTCCTCAACGAAGAGGAATACCGAGGCAAAAAAGATGTGGTTCTACGGAAAAATTACCGACAACACCATGGACAAAACATTTGAGCAACGAAGAAGTTTTAAGGAATATGGAAACAGAACTCTAATACTTAGAATCGGAAAGGGTTCAATTTTTTAATCTAATGAGGAATGTGTCTTGGAGAAATTGAACAACACAAGACCGACTGAAGTCAGTAGGGACAGATGGAAGAATGGATTATTAGAAAGCTTACTAAGAGCTACAAAGGACAGGACGTTTTTGGAAAGCTCTGATCGCCCACAACCTGAATAGACATGGCTTTTAAAAAGGAAGAATGGACACCAAACTAGCGCACATCTAAGTAGGGACTAGAATACATGTGAACTTTTACCATATTGTTTATGCTGATTTTACGAGTCCAGAAGTTATTGTGGAATTTGCTTTCGAGCTAAATGTACAAGAAAGGAATCTATACGGATGTTGAAAATTAACATTCAATGTACTGATATTTTCTTAGACTCGAATTGGCACCGGAATAATAGAAGAATTATACAATTTCCTTCGTAATGTAATATCCCATGTCTATTTATCTCTCAGTACCTGCAGCGGAAAGTGGCGCAAGATATTTCTGTTTATTTCACCATTGCTTAAAATGCGGGAAAATATTCGTTTCATTCGACCGCCCATAGTAAGTATATGACTCCCTCGATATATTTTATCTTTCACAAGATCCAAATCAGAACAAAAATGAAGTATTGCTGTCATATCTGTGCTGAAGCACCCCCCACATTTTAATAGACTTTAAAATCGTCTACGCGTCTATGTGGGTGATGAATTATTTTCCAGCTTAAAAAAAAATTCCCATAGACGAAACGTCGTGAGCCTTTAGCAGCTCTATCACTCTATCCATGGCACATATTCTGACAAGCTACATTCTTTGGTGCCACCAGTTCTGAACTTTGGAACTGGGACTCGCCATGCCGCGTACGTATGAATAAATCGGCACCGTTCTATTCATATTCCATTAATAAAAAGTAATTTGCATTCGGATATCTTCTTCCCAAGATCCGATGCCTTGTGAAACAGACTCCCAGTAAGATGTTTTCTTATTCACTAAGTTCTTGAACTCTTCAACTCAAATGATTAACCGTTATATTTCCGGCATAATCCGTGAAACTTCACTTCCTACACTCATACACTATACAGTAACCCTCTAGATTGAGTGGCTCTCGGGCGGCCTGTATTGGGTGAATATAAATGTAAAACAAACTATTCTTCGTTTTTAGAATATTATAAATACTATTTAACTCCATGATGTAGACGATGATGCCTCTCAACAGTTTCCGTTTTTTATTAGTTCTTTCTGAAGAAACCATTATTTGGGAAAAGTAAAGTAGCCTTCTTCGCTGTTTTAAGCACGGTGTAGTTATTCTCCTAGACTGGTTGACAACAAAGGAGAGTCATGTCTACGCTGATATTTTACATATAGGTTGAGGAAGAAGATATAGATTTGTTTCATTCCCAAGAGAATTTGGGGGAAAATTGAACTCGGCCCACTGATTCCATTATCCGTACCGCTAATCGTTACATCACACGCGCATTCACGTCGTGTTACTTTGAGTAAATGCATTCTTCTTTGAAAGTTAAGGAGTGATAGTAAGAAATAAAGAAGAGGGGACGTAAACGAAAGATTGCGAATGCGTGGCTGTCTGTTTGCGTCTGTGTGTTTTCTTCCGCGTGTCTTTGTGTCTGCGTCTTTATAGACTGTAGAAATGTTCGCTCAGAAATCAAAATACAATGAAAGTCGAGAGTAAAAATAGTATCACAACTGTGTCTGAAAACTTTGAAAATGATTTTTTTTTCTAAATAACTGATAAATTTATTCTTATTTCTATTTTAGTTTTATTTTTGGAAATTTATTTCTTTTTTCTTTCCTTCGATGTTTATTTTCTAGTTTTGTATTTTTTTTTTAATTTAAATTTCAGGTTTCATGAATCTTCCTTGGAGTCAGTCATTATTTCCAACATACTTTCTATTTTCAATGTTTTCCCTTCTCGTCACTTACTTCCTGCCTTTATTTTTTTATTCCTTTCTTTATTTGTCGTCTGAATTTTATTCTTAACATTTTTTTATTCTACTATTTTTTAAGAATATTTGTTCGCTTTTCAAGATTTTTTTTCATTATCCTGTCATTATTTTGTTGTTGTTTTTTCCAAGTTTATTTCTTCATCTTTTTCCGTTTACAAACTTATTTCATCATTTTTAACTTCTATTTTTTATCTCCTTTTTTTGCTTAATGTTCCAAAAATGTCTCTAAATATATTTCCATTATCTATATATCTATCTATATATCTACTTATGTAGATAGATAGATAGATAGATAGATAGATAGATAGATAGATAGATAGATAGATAGTGGGGGAGAGAGTGAGGGATAAAGTGGGAAAGCGTTCCGCCAAGAGCGCCTGCTCCCTTTGGATCCTTCAGGTAAGAAAGATAGAAATACAAAATTTATGTAAGGTAAATATGTTGGGTTCTCTGAGAATATGTGGGAACCGTGAATCAAATTATCTTGTTTATTTGTCTGTTCCATTGCGCGCCCGCAGACACGCACACGCACACGCACACGCACGCACGTACGCACACACACACACACACAAACAAGCGCGTGCGCACACACGCACACAGTCACAGGCACACAGTAACACACACACACACACATAGATAGATAGATAGATAGATAGATAGATAGATAAATAGATAGATAGATAGATAGATAGATAGATAGATAGATAGATAGATAGATAGATAGATAGATAATGTGCTCTCGTTGATTGGGGCCCTATCTCAATACTCAGGCGACGGAAAAGGACAAAAGATCTTTATGAATTGTATTTTTGTATATATATATATATATATATATATATATATATATGTTATATTCTACATTGAGCATCGCGTTACCATACAGTATGCGTCTTCGAAAATTTGCAATAAAATTATATATATATATATATGCACAACATATATATGTATGTGTGTGTCCTGAATATTACAGTGAGGATACTATGTTGATTTTTATTTACGCGTTGTTTTTATGCGTAATCGCTCTGTATCTCATACTAATTATTATTACCTTATACTTTTAGAAATTATAGAAAGTATCTATATGTATATATATGAATAAGGTGCTATTTTTATGTAGTTAAAAAGCTCTGCTAAAATATTTCAAGAGAGCACTCTTATTTAAATAAAATAATATATATATATATATATATATATATCTAATTATATATTTGAATATGCATATATATATATATATATATATATATATATATATATATATATATATATATATATATACAAAATACTTATATTGTTTTAATTTAATTCTCTTTTGTAGTTTTCTTTCTTCCCTCGTTTTTATGTGTTTTATGTTTTGTGATTTTGCTGTATTTTTTGTCATTATTCACAATTGTTTTTTTTTCCTTTTTACTTGTGATATGTTAGTCTTTCTTTCTTTCTTTCTTTCTTTCTTTCTTTCTTTCTTTCTTTCTTTCTTTATTTCTTTCTTTCTTTCCTTACCGTCTTTGCTTATTTTTCTTAAGTGAATGTTACCTTTTATTTTTTTTCAGTTCTGAAGAAAAACAAATAGCACCGAAATATTCCAATCCTCAAAATAGGAAAAAAGCAATTCCATGCTCGTTAAAAAGAATACAACTGCCCAAAATTCATAAAAATAAAACCCTCAACTTCAGCTACATTCAGAATAGCGCTCAGAATTTTTCATCCAATAGATTTTTTCTTATCATCAGAGAAAAATCAATAAATCTGTATAACCCAAAAGGCAAAAAAAAAAAGAAAGAAAAACTGACAGGAAACATTTTTAGATGAATTTATTTTCTAAAGTCTATTAAATGCCTTTCAATTTAGTCAACTATCTGTTATCTCAATGATTGTTATTATTATTATCATTAGAGTTCTTGCTGTTTATGTTGTTGATGATGATGCACTTCTTACATACCTTCACCAGCGCTAGGGGGAGCTTATATCAAAATGACATTAATTCTTGTCTGCCATTCTATGCTATTGATATTATCTTCGCTTGTATTAGTCGTAATGGATTTTTCTATTGTTTGTAGCTTCCTTCAATTACACACTCTTTCACATATTCTTATGACTTCAGTACCATTCCTAGTGACTCAAGATACTTTTAAGCAACTGTCTTCTTCTTCTAATTATTATTATGATTATTATTATTATCATCATCATCATTATCATATTTCGATTTCTTCTATGTTTACCCAACCTACCAAATCTGCGTGAAGACCTAAGGTAGGTAGTAGTGTGTAGTTATGGCTACATTTTATGATTTGTTTTCTAACTCCCATAACAACACTAGCGTTACATGGATAAAGTACTTCTTCGTGTGTGGGCTGTACTTATACTTACCAAGACATTTTTTTGTATTTTTAAACTGGGATTTCCAGGGATTCCTTCAATGTGTCGTTGTGTTTCTTTTGTATAATTCCAAGCACACCTACTATAACTGGTACTATTGTTGTTTTCAATTTCCACAGTTTTGCTATTTCGATTTCCAGGTATTTATATTTCGATAGTGTTTTTTTTTTTTTTTCAAATTACTTGGTTGTTATGTTACAGCCTGCTGGGCAAGCCATATCGATTAGTAAGCAAGTTTTCTTTTTCTTTTCTGTCAGTTACATCCGGCCTATTTGCTATTTGTGAAGATCATGTAACCCCGTAGAATTGTGATGTCTTCTATTTCATACCCGTGTTTATTAAGATCTTCTCCAAAATATTTGCATATTGTCCAGTGTAATATAGTGCCCCACTCTATCGTGACGATTTTTATATTCATCTGGCGCAAGTAAAGAATATTCTGGGATTAGATGGGCTATAGATTGCTGGGTTTTTTTTTTCAGATAACTTGCATTTTGTATCCCCACTATTATGATCTTCTTCTTCTTCTTCTTCTTCTTCTTCTTATTATTATTATTATTATTATTATTATTATTATTATTATTATTGCATTTGATTTGATTTGATTTCCGGTGTATACTCATTTATTTCTGGGTCTTAACCAGAGACTTAAGGTTAGAAATAGCATGATGATATTTTCCATTTGGCATTATTTGATAAAGCAGATAAAGCACTTCGTTTTTGTATTTTTCAATTAGTCTTTTGGAATCATTACCAATCTGACCGACGGCTCCAAGTAAAAGTGAAGTTGTTGATGTCATCATGAGCCATATTTTTGAGATTTCGATTTCAAGGTCCTTGTATTTTGATAGTTTTTTTTTTTTTTTTTTTTGAAGATCTTCAACAATATATTACAATCTGCAGGGATTGCCATGTGAATAAGAAGACACATTTTCTTTATTTTCCTCTCTGATCACTTTGTCTTGGCAATTTCCTTTGAGTGTTCTATCTGTGTGTATATTTAAACCCCCTAAAACTGTTACAAAACCTATCTCTGTAACCGGATCTGGGTGGTGTTCATACCAATTTCTTGGAGTTTCCTTTCCGTAAAGGTTGCAGATTTTCTAATGCAGATAACGGCCCACTCTTTATTGCAGAGTTTTATATTCCGTGGATACCAGTACTGTGCAATGTGATACAAAATGATTAATTGTTTCTGGATATTTATCACAGAATTTTGACCTAATACAATTTTTAGTAAGTGTGCTTGGTATATATCTAGTTAGCAAGAATTGATCCGGTGCAACAAGAATAAAACTTTCGGTTTCAGGTTTTAACCCTGCACAGCGTAGCAACTCATGGGTACGGGGTTTTTCTACATCAGCTTGTTTGGTACGGTCTGAATATTTACCGTAAAAAAGTTTATCATGCCATCGTTTTTATATCTGGTCATTTGTCTTTGCTTCCTTTTTTAAGATTTTTACAGCTGCAGCAGATGTATTATATTTTACATGCATTTCTTCACCCACTTGTAACTTGTTGGATTCCTTTAACACTGAAAAAAATATCCTACTTCTTTCATGTTCTTTAACACAGATCATCATTCAGTCTTCTGCAGTTTCCAGGCATCTTTAAATGACCGATTGTTGTAGTTTTCTAAGGCAATTTTAGTTGATCTAATACTCTGCCTCTTTCGGATCTTGGCACATACAGATTATCAACACCAGCTTTGGGATGATGCATGCGGTAACAAGTGAGAATCTTTCTCGTTTTGGTGTCCATTCGCTTAATGTCAGCTATGGTCCAGTTAATGATGTTGAACTCTATTGCACCACGGGTTGTTTATGGCTGATATTTTATTTATATTCAGATAGGTATTCAGTACGAGACGTTCATGCCTGTAATTTTATTTTCTTACTTTCTCCTTCACTTGGCTATGCTATATTCCATCTCCTTCGCTAATTCCTACATACTTATAGGCTACTACTTGTTCCAGTACACTAATCTTTGTTACAACATTTAGAGCTATTTTGTGTGTTTCTGTAATTCTACCTGTTTTCAATGTTACTTTTACACATTTATCTAATCAGAAATCAATACATAATGCCGTCACTGAAACATTTTACAGTATTAAAGTGACCCTTCAGCTCAATGTCGTTTTTGGCAAAGAGTTTGAGATCATCCATGTAGAGTAGGTAATTGAACAATTTCTCGTTTACTTTGTATCCATAGCTATTATTGTTTGTTCCTTGAAAGATTACTCGTCGGATATTCAGGCGGTTGGAATTGACAGTGCCTTTGGTGTGATTTAGGTATAATGTGATTTCCCATATCCCCATGCTGTGTTTAAGGAGATTTACTATCACTATATTATTTTGTCTTGAGGATCCAGGAGTGTAGTCCACTATCTAAGGCTTTATCGTAATCTATCCATATTGTGCTGAGATTTCTACCTATTTCCCTGCAGTTATCCAGAATCATTTTATTTATCAATAGTTGTTTTTCCCAACCATATAAGCCTCACTTGCATCCCTTCTGTTCTAACGAAGAATGTTTTTTTTTTCTTCGAGAAAAGAATAAGTACAGTTCGTCAGGACAGACGATCTTAATTTATACATAGAAGACAGACATGTTATTGGCCTATAATTTTTCGGATCATCTTTTTCAGTCGTTTTTGGAACGGGATAATACCTTCAGTGATCCATTCTGGGACTTCATTGAAATTACTAAGAATCACTAGATGGATTACTGTTGATAGAGCCAAAAATTGGATACCTTGTTATTTCCTGGGGATTTCAGTTTGTTGGATTTCGTTACAACTTGCCTAACATTAGTTGTGGTTATATTTTTTCATTCTTGTAGAGATTTATCCATCATTCGTTCTTCTTCTCGTTAGACCCACTCTGTATTTGGCGTCATATTCCTTTGGGCAACTCCAAATATTCTGCCAAAATGTTTGCACTTTTTCAATAGATGGTGGCGTTTTGACATCTATAACAGCTTTTCCAGTTTCCCTGTAAATTTTTTGAGGTCCGTTTGGAATATCTTATTTTGGCGATAGAACTACGCTTTTCGTATTGAATTGTCGTCTGTGACTTTAACTGCAGTTTCTGTTTTCTATTTCCTTGATTAGTGGAATTTCATTTAGCGTTTTCATTTTATATCTCTGCTTGATGTCCCTGCATTTGCGTATTGAGATATTTGGCTTTCTTGAGATCTCATATAGTACCGATAACTCACACATGATTTCTTTTATTTCTTGTTTCAATTATACATTCCAAGCTGGCTCTTTCTCTCTGTTGTTTTATCTTTTCATTTTCTCGACACCAAGATGCTAAATCTGTTGCATGTATGACATAAATTTTAATTCTATGATGTTTCCCAATAGTTTGTCCGTTAGCAGTATTTGCAGTGAAGCGTTGTATATTTGCACACTATGTTTACTGGACTTATGTCATATGAATTTGGGTGGGGGTCTCTGTTTGACATTTGTGCGCGTGTTACTCTGCAGACTACTTGGATGATGT